TCGTCTCTAGCAGTCAAGTAACGTCCGGTGCAATAACAACGATCTCGATTGCACCCTGTGAATAGTCGTACTCCTCCAAGTAGCAGCTACCATTTGTTCTCTCCTTCTCTAGACAAAGAAAAGGCAAGAACCAATTAGAAACGGAGCAAGAATCATTCAGGATGTGAGGGTGACTGGCATTCATCGATTGAAGCAAACCGTTCAAACCCGGCAGCAGCTTTCTTTTCTTCCTTGGCAGCGATGGGTGCAGCACTATGCAAGCCAAGAAGAAGAAGAAGATGAAGTATGTCCCCCCTCCTCGCGCCAATCTAGACTGTTCCCGGAATGACCGATGGACTAGCGTGCCAATTTCCATTGCTGCTTTAAATCAATTATAACCTCCGTCCTGCTTTATTAGTCCCCATTATATTTTATGTCAAATTTTGATCATAAATTTAACTAACGAAATGTTCATGCATGTCCCCAAAATTTGTATCATTGGAAACTATGTTCAAATACAAATCCAACGGTATAATTTTTGTTAACATACGTTAACATTTTGTTATTTGAATATTTGATCAAAATTTGGCATAAATTACAAAGAGTATCAATAAACCAGAACGGAGGTAGTATTTAGCCTCCATCGTTTTATTAGAAAGCGACACAGAAGATATCAATGAATGAAAATGTTGTGCGTATGACGCTTTACCATATGACGCTTGTACGATGCTAATATGGAACATGGAGAACGGTAAATTGCACATGCCACGCAGCAACATGTGGGGTTTCATCTAGTATATACAGGATCAGACAAAAAATTCACTAATTTTCTCAGTCACCCTCGTAGTGATGGCCTGAATATCTTGGCCGTGCATTGAGAATTCAATGTTGAATTCTTGCTTCATTTCTCATTACTAAAAGAATTATTGTTTTTACTCAGTAATTCGTTTACAAAACAGTAATATTAGTCGTATTCAATCGAAGAATCCATCAACCCTGAAGAGGATAGCGATGGAGCGAGGGACAGACGGTGCCGTGTCATCACCACGCGCGCGTTCCGTGTTGAATCTATTAATCCTGGAATGAAATTCAAACTGGAAAACGACACTGCGGTTTCCATGTTGAATATTAGTTACCATGCATAAACATAACTATCTAGAGGAGCATCCGACAGAAGACGAATATGTTGAGTGCTCCAAAAGTAGTTGTCAGTCGAGATTGACCTTTAACTGTTGTGTTTATAAACGAGATCACTATGCATTATTCATAGCTCGGACCATGACCCCCTGATGATACAGAAGCCAGACACGTGTCCACTTCCTATACCACCATTCTGCGCTAGGTTTGGCAACGCTTTTTTCCCGGTTTTTTTCTTGATCTACCTCAACCTGTGGAAACGTATGCGTACACACTGATCCGGACAAGCGTAGAGCTAGTGTCGGTCCGTACACGCTGCTCGACCAAAATTAATCTTCTGAGTGACACTGTACGTGGAGCTAGCTACTGTCTGCGTACGTATTCATGTGTGTTGCTCTGCTCAATTAATATTTACGCGTAACATCTCAATTACCATTGGCGGTCACTGATATATATATAATCTGAGACCAATAATCTATCTCTTTTTATAGGGAGGTTTCTTCCGGGACCAACCTATTGTTGATAAGTATTTATCAATATCTAGCATCGCAAATACTCCTACAGCACAACACGCTTTTTAGTGTTGTGTACGTCTCACAACTTGCATCCATCAGCATGTACTCCAGTGGTCAGTACTCAGTAGTGTACTATAAACCGAGTTAACTATGATTTGTGTATTCTACCCGCTCAGCCCAATATAATGCAGCCGTAACGTAGGATGCAAGCAACACAGTGGAGAAATATACACACAGCTTGCACTGGTATCTATAATATATTTTTCCGATAAAGGACTGTTGGATTTCTATTACCGCTAATTAACTATCTGACCTAAGTGATTTCTTTATTTCGTTTTTGCTTTTTCCCAGTGGTGTAATTTGCAGCTTTTTTCAATCAGTGGACTTAAACTTGGTTATTATGTCTCAGTCAATAATGCAGTATGCGTGAGATATTACATTGAGATCTGTGTAAATTTTCTTTTTGATTTTTTTCTTTCTTACATGTTATGTCACTTGGCTGAGACTTGGTTAAATCTCAGTTTGACCGAGACCTATCCACACACTTTTTCAATTGAGACCGCCATAGGTGCATGAGCAAAAAAAATCATGTCAGTTCTAATCCAACAGGTGGCGTCTACCAAATTCTTCCACCATTGACTGATCCAGCGCCGTCTAGACCGCTGGCTGCCGCCATCCAGGGCCGGCGACGCCCCATATCAACCTCTGGCAACCTTCCAACTGGGGTGCCGTTGTTGGGACGTCCCAGGCTGGGGTCATTCTCATCCTGGGCCTCGCCGTCGTTCCTGCGTCTTGCTGTGCACGCCACACCCGGAGCTATGTGTAGACAGTAGAGAATCGACACATAGCTCATCCAGCAACTTCAGTTGCCTGAAATCGCAACTTCAGTTGCTTGACAAACAGCAAAACTGTTGATAATTTATATTCATCCAATAGTATTCTCTGTCTGGTGGTGCTCATCCAGTACTACTATTGGTTAGATTATGAATGGATGGCGGCTCAGATTAACTAGTCAGATAGCGCTAATTTGCAATATATGTTGTATGGATCCGTCTAATCTATGCATAAGATACGAAGCATGCAGCGACATGTCCTGATCAAAAGATCAAAATGGGCGGCCACGGGCATGCACATGCCATGATGTGCACAATCTTGGCAAGTAAATCCCAGATTGAGTAGAAGCATTGCATTCACCAAGCCAGACAGCGACAACTCAGAACCTCTACCATAAAATATACGGTACAGTACAGTGCGTACGTAGTATTCCTAGTGCTGTATAAAGACAGTGGGACATGACCTGTATAAAGAAAAGATAGTGTGACAGGATGGATAAGCAATTATTGGCTGCGCACTGCCCGAGGATGATTCGCTCGCCGGTGGCTGGCCAACCAGTAATAAGTACCTCCGATTTTCCACAAGGGATCATTTCCTCATTGTATCTGTACCAACGTAATATTGAGCTAGGCAGGTTAATGTGTGTTGTCCCCGCAAAAAAGAAAAAGATAAAGGCTAACGTGTGTTGCAAGTAGGGAAGATAGATAATCAGTCTTGCACACCAATATAACGGCGGCGGTAAAGCTAGATAGCTACTTGATCAGCTGACAGAGACTGATGACTGATGCGGAGCGACAGACAACCGAAATATGCTACTGCATGGATTTGTGAGTGGGGGTGGTCGCTACTCAGCTAGCTAACTTAAATCATATGAATTCTTCTTCCTAGCCGACCAAATAGACAGCCACCACCAGTACCACCACCCCCCGGCTAGCCGAGTAGCCACCCCCACGCGCAATCCAGGGCTTTTCACTAGAAGAGATCGATTATCCCGGCCCCGGCCTGTCCTCTCTCACTAACCTGTCACTGTCAGTGCAAAAAATCGACTGGTGGATGTGATCAGCCAGGGATATGTGTGCTTCCAATCCAGTGCTTTCTGGGTTATATAAATAGGGCTCCAATCAGGCTTACCTGGCTACCAACCTCATTCTTACTTAGTACTACTGCAATTGCAATTGAGCGCCTCACAAGAACTACCGTCTGGTGATCCTTTGCTGCTACCTCGATCGTTCCCCAGCTGCTTAGTTGCATCTTCTTCTTCATCTTCACCACGGTTTGGTGAGTCCCCACCCTATGATATCATATGGTTCTATTTGTATGTACTCCTATGTACTTTGCATGTCAATTATTTTGTTTGGTCGAGGACAACCAGCGAGTTCTGTACACGACGCTAGCTAGTCACGAGTCACGGCCGATCGATGAGCCTCGCTACTTTTAGTGCAGTGTGGTACCACCAGCTAGCTAGTACGTACTTCCATGTATAGCTAGCATATGCTACTACACCGGTAGAGAAGGGGACAATATGCACTTGCATGCTAAAGTGACCACCATATTCCTGCTGGTACTCCTCATAGACTCATACTGGTACGTACTCCTTGTTGAGTTTGAATTGAGGTTGAAATTCGTCTCTGCAATGGATCGACATACCTCCGAAACCATATTCCTGCGCTGGTACTCATAGTACATCGATGCAGTCGAGATGAGCCTGAAAAAATTCGTCTCTGCGAGATCTGTACGTACATACCTGTAGTTGAGTCCTCTAGTCCACCACAAAATTGACCAGAGACCCAATCTTCTCTCTCTGACCGTAGTGTAGGGTACGTGTCTAGTACCAGTAGGCCGGCGCAGAAAAATGATGGAAACTACAGGGAGAGAGGTGGTGGTGGATGTGTGGAGGGGAGACTAATCCTGAAGTGCACTCAAAGAAACATGCTGGCTTTGCATTCATGCCCCTAAAACCTTCACTCTCACAGCTCCTATAGGCAGCATCCACTGCTGGTCCTTTTCATTCCTCTTTTCTCTTCTATCTTCTTCCATTCCCACTTTACATTACAAGCTAGACCACACTACGCGTATAAATCCATGCCATCAAGTGCTTGCAATCAGCCTAGATTACAATTGTACTTTGTCCTCAGAAAATGGACCCAGGACATGATTGCAGTGCACTTATAGTAGATAGAGAGACATATTTGGTGTGGGCTATATAGACTGCTAGAGCTAGATTACAATATAAATAGCAGTTCATACGAGCGTGCGCGCATCCGTGTGCTCTGCTATGCTTGCTGTCAAGCGTCTGTGGTCACCTCTCATTCCAGTGAGTGCAGCAGCCCTGATGCTTTTCTATATCTCTGGCTATATATAAAGATCTTCTTCACCTTCTTTGGTCCACAAGCATACAACATAGATGCACTATCCATCGATCGGTGGACCAGCTAGTACCATTTTTGCCCCTCTCTTGTAGTAAGTTGAAAAGGTTGTGCGCTTGATTTCAGTTCAGAGGACATCAAGCTAGCTTGCTACCAGGCAGGAAGGTAGATGCTAGCAATGGAGCAGCACAACCATCAGGAGGAGTCCTGTGTTCCGCCGGGGTTCAGGTTCCACCCCACTGAGGAGGAGCTGGTGGGGTACTACCTGGCCAGGAAGGTGGCCGCCCAGAAGATCGACCTCGACATCATCCAGGAGGTTGATCTCTACAGGATCGAGCCTTGGGACCTCCAAGGTACTACTCATCTGAATTTTGAAAGTTGTTTTGTAGCTTCTACTCCATCCATTCCAAAATACTTGTCGTGGTTTTAGTAGTATTCTATTGAGGTGGTGATTCACGTTTTGAATATTAACAAAAATGGATGGTGCAGAGAAGTGCGGCGGCGGCAGGAGCGGACGGGGAGCACGTCAGATGGCGGAGGAGGAGCAGTCGTCGTCAGAGTGGTACTTCTTCAGCTTCAAGGACCGCAAGTACCCCAGCGGCACGCGCACCAACCGTGCCACGGCGGCCGGGTTCTGGAAGGCCACCGGCCGCGACAAGCCGGTGATGTCGTCGAGGAGCCGAGGGGTCATTGGCATGAGGAAAACGCTGGTGTTCTACAGGGGCCGTGCGCCTAATGGTAGGAAGACCGACTGGATCATCCATGAGTACCGCCTCCAGACAAATGAGCACGCGCCCACACAGGTTTTTCTTCGGTTCCTCTTCTTCCTCCTCCTGTTACACGCCTACACCTCTTCTTCTTCTTGAGAATCTCGCGTTGATGATGACCATGATGATGATGATGCAGGAGGAAGGTTGGGTGGTGTGCCGGGCGTTCCAGAAGCCAGCGCCGAACCAGAGGCCGTCCTACATCTTCCCGGCATACGCTGCAGCTCCAGGCCTCGGGGGCTACTACGACGCGCGGCCATGGCTGCACGGCCAAGGCGGTGACATCCATTACCTGCAGAGCACCGCAGGCGCTGCCAGTGCCGGCGGCGTCGAATTCCCTGGCCAGGGCATCCAGTACCCTGACGACGTGCTGGAGTCTAAGCAGAGTCTCTTCGGCAACATCCCGCAGCTGATCGAGAGCCCGCCGACGACCACCGCCATTGCCGGTTGCGGCGACGCCGGCTACGACATCGTCCAGCAGGGACAGGCGGCGGCCGGCATCGACTGGAACTTCCTGGACAGCCTGCTATCCACGTCGCAGCTGCACCTACAGCAGTGAAGTAGAGTTAGCAGACATACCTACCGTAGCCGCATCGATTTCATTGGATACATGATTTGCTAATAATTAGTTAATACTATCATTGAGTACAGATAGTAGATGATGTTGCACTGCACACTTGGTTGTACCTAGATAGACTACTCTGTTTCACTCACTGAGTCCATGTGTCTACTGTAGATCACTCTGTTCCACTTACTGAATATATGTGTTTCACTGTAGACTACTCTGCATCACCTACTAAATTTCAGCGACATTTAATTTATCGTACACATGATTTGCTAATACAGGCAGTGTAGAGCCTTAGATGGTGGACCTCCATGTCCATGTGTTTGAGTTGCACCTGGTTGACAATTGTACCTAGCATAGTAGCGTGTGTTCTAGTTTACAACAGACACACAGAGCACTCTGTTTCACTCAATGATGAATCTGTTGAACAGCTGATCATCATCACAAAGTGTACGTAAATGTTTCACTCAATGATGAACCTTTCATTTCAACATACGCGTGAGATAACTTTGGTTGATCTTTCTGGGTCGTACGCAAACGGTTAATTAAATGTCTGATGTGCCCATGGAGATTAGTTAACATCGATCGAGCGCGATAGTGAGTGGATTAATTGAGTTTCCCTGTCAATCATCTTTTCTGGTGTAAATTAAATTTACGCGTCATGGGATTGTAGGTTTGAGTCGTAATTAAGTGGAGATGCAGAAAGACGGATGGTTCTCCTACTCGCCATCTATAGTCAACAAAGTGACAGGGATTTGCACTACCATGATAAGTATATATCTCGAGTACATACTGTTGCTTGTGGCTGCTGTATAATGTTGATCATTAAAATGTTCTTTTCTGACCGGGATCAATCAGTTGGTGAATACTTATGAGATCGATGAAATACATAATATGCAGAAAGGAAGGGGAATTAATTCTGCTACATAAACTTAGTAAAAATCATAGTTCTGGAATTTTATAAATTACGGGATATAAAGCAAATGTGTAGGTATTCCTTACTCATAGGAGTATCTATCGTGTGGCAATGGTATTTTGCAAATAAGCCACTAATAAAAAAATCATCTTTTCCTGTCACAATATCACTAATTATCGTGTTACGTTGCGGTTTTCACATAGGGCACTGACATCATCGTCGTTGCCATCCATATTACTACTTTTTAATGCAACATTCACTAATATTTTTAAACGAGTTGAGCATAACTATACGTGACATAGGTGCTTGCATTTTTTTTGATTTTATTCCATGCTTACAGTGCTATTTTCTTCGGAGTACCGTGTGTGCGTCAATTACAAGGTGTTTGTTGCAAGTGTGTCTATCTCAAAATCTGCCAACTCAATATGTTGAAAGTGTTCATAGGGTTGTGTATGTGTGCATGTGTTTTGTGAGCATCTATGTATGTACTGTGTTTCACAAACGAATGTATCTTTTCAAAACAAAATACATGCCACACTTTTTCAAAATTATGTGGAGACCTACATTTTTATTGCCCTTTTCCCCTAAGTATACATGTAATCGTATCTAATGAAAAAAAAATCATGTCTTACAATTCTTTTATCATGGTCTATTACAAATATATTACAAGAATCATACTCTACCAGAAACAAAATAAAGCAAAACATGACACGCTGCGGTATTAACCGTATACGTGAATATCTGCCACAATTTCTTGTCATTAGGTGCAACTAATTCAACAAGTGCTTAAATTTATTTTTGGACTATGCCATGTATGATAATAATTCGTGCGTGCAAATCACAAAATGGGAGTACTATGTTTACCATGGGCCATTCTAAAAGTGATACATGAAGAAAATTAAAATCTAAAGGGAACATGTTATTAATTTTTTTTACTAAGCATAAGAGTATGCGTGTTCCGAAAACCATAGAGACTTCTTGCTTTCTTTAATTGCACTTATGTTAGGAAAAAAATCGGATAAGCATAAGGATAACAATAGTTATAGCGTGACTACCTCTCGTTACCCTCTGTGTGGCAGCTTTTAAACTTACCACATTTTGAAATATATCCAGGTAGGGAGCCTCCCCCCTCCACCCCGGGCTCCATTTTAAAAAAATCCAAGGTTTGTTTCGCATGAACTAGTTCCTAGGATTGCTCGGTTCTTCTTCCAATTACTCTCATTTTCTGTATCCTTGTTTGTGCGTCCTAGCAATGAGATGGAGGCGGCAATGGCATCATGATTGGCGTAATTCTACTTAACCTCCTCAGCGTCCCAATGATGTACTACTCAATCCCCACGGTGGTCTTTTAAGAGTTTAGTCTTGTGAACCTAGGCAACCAGCTCTGTTGTATAGTGTGTAAGGTCTGTTCTTCTAACTTAAGATTTTGTGAGGTAGTAACGGTAATGGCAGTACGATGTTTTTCTTCGACGGGTTTTCTCATGACAATGGTACTCCACTAGTCCATGGAGGCATCCTGCAATAGTAGGTACCCTCAACATGTCATTACAATCGTAAGCTCCTGAAAGTTTCAGTCATATAATTAACCATAGCGTCGGTGAAATAATAATGACAGAACCCAAAGAAACCTTTTTGCCAAGAAGACAACTTTAATTTTACCAATTTGGTATGTTTTATACAAATTCGAAAGGGTTGGACAGATTTTACCCTTCAAAAGAGAAAGTTTTACCTCTGATTTGTATTTTCGGATTTATCCTTGATTTGGATGGCATAATGGAAAAAAATACCTAGGAAAGGAGAGTCATGTTGTTCTTCAACTAGCATGGGAAGGAAAAACAAGCATAACTTCAAGATTTTCAACACATAGAGAGGAAACTTGATATTATTGCAATATGTAAAAGCATATGTTCCTCCCTCATAATAATTTTCACTAGCATCATGAATGAATTCAACAATATAACCATCACATAAAGCATTCTTCTCATGATGCACAAGCATATAAATTTTACTACTCTTCACATAAGCAAAATTCTTCTCATTCGGAATAGTGGGAGCAAACTCAACAAAATAACTATCATGTGAGGCATGATCCAATAGAAAATTAAAATCATGGTGACAAGTTTCATGGTTATCATTATTTTTTATATCATACATGTCATCACAATAATCATCATAGATAGCAACTTTGTTCTTATAATTAATTGGAACCTCTTCCGAAATAGTGGATTCATCAATAAATAAAGTCATGATCTCTCCAAATCCACTTTTATCAATATTATGAAAAGATCCAACACCCTCCAAAATAGTAGGATCATTACTTCCTAAAGTTGACATTCTTCCAAACCCACTTTCATCAATATAATCATCATAAATAGGGGGCATGCTATCATCAAAATAAATTTGCTCATCAAAACTTGGGAGACTAAAATATCATCTTCATCAAACATAGCATCCCCAAGCTTGTAGCTTTGCATATCATTAGCATCATGGATATTCAAATAATTCACACTAATAACATTGCAATCATGCTCATCATTCAAATATTTAGTGCCAAACATTTTATGAACTTATTCTTCTAACACTTGAGCACAATTTTACTTTCCATCATTTTCACGAAGACATTAAAAAGATGAAGCATATGAGACAATCTCAATTCCATTTTTTGTAGTTTTCTTTTATAAACTAAACTAGTGATAAAACAAGAAACTAAAAGATTCAATTGCAAGATCTAAAGATATACCTTCAAGCACTAACCTCCCCGGCAACGGCGCCAGAAAAGATCTTGATGTCTACTACGCAACTTTATTCTTGTAGACTCGTGTTGGGCCTCCAAGCGCAGAGTTTTGTAGGACAGTAGCAAATTTCCCTCAAGTGGATGACATAAGTTTTATCAATCCGTGGGAGGCATAGGATGAATATGATCTCTCTCAAACAACCCTGCAACCAAATAAAAAAGAGTCTCTTGTGTCCCCAACACACCTAATACAATGGTATATTATATAGGTGCACTAGTTCGGCGAAGAGATGGTGATACAAGTGTAATATGGATGGTAGATATAGGTTTTTGTAATCTGAAAATATAAAAACAGCAAGGTAGCAAGTGGTAAAAGTGAACGAAAATGGTACTGCAATGCTTGAAAACAAGGCTTAGGGTTCATACTTTCACTAGTGCAAGTTCTCTCAACAATGATAACATAATTAGATCATATGGCAATCCCTCAACGTGCAACAAAGAATCACTCCAAAGTTTCTATCGGCGAACGTAGGACGAAAACGTGCATCAACCCCTATGCATAGATTACACCAATGGCACCTCGGGAATCCGCAAGTTGAGTGCCAAAACATACATCAAGTGAATCAATAGGACATCCCATTGTCACCACAGATATTCCATCGCAAGACATACATAAAGTGTTCTCAAATCCAATACTTAATCCAACATTATGAAAACGCAAAGAGCAAGACTCAATTCATCACAAGAAGGTAGAGGGGGAGAAACACCATATGATTCAGCTATAATAAGAAAGTTGGCGGTACATCAAGATCGTGCCAAATCAAGAACACGAGAGAGAGAGAGAGAGAGAGAGAGAGAGAGAGAGAGATCAAACACATAGCTATTGGTACATACCCTCAGCCCCGACTGTGAACTACTCCCTCCTTATCATGGAGAGCGTCGGGATGATGAAGATGGCCACCGGTGATGGTTTCCCCCTCCGGCAGGGTGCCGGAACGGGCTCTCGATTGGTTTTTCGTGGATACGGAGGCTTGCGGCGGCAGAACTCTTGATCTAGGTTTCTTTTTGGGGGTTTCTAGATTT